TGGTGGGCTTGTGACCAGCAACCTTCTCACCAGCGGCAACATCCTCCTTGAGCTGGGCGATCAGCTCGCTCTCGTTGTTGTAGTATCCCCGTCCTTCGGTGAAGGTTTCTAGGCCGGGAAGGGGCTCGCCTTTGGGGTGGGTGAGTTGCCATGCCCAAGTCTAGCAGATGTCAGTATGGTGGTAGTGCAGTAATCGAGTGGACTAACCTTGATGGCCAGGGCAGCGCCGACGAAGCCCGCGTGGTAGCCAAAGGCCGCAACGCGCCTGCCTGATTCATCCTGCAGGAACTCGAGGTCGTACAGGGTGCCTCCACCACGGGGAAACCTCGCGAGGACGTTCTCCCAGCCGCCCTGCTGCTTGTAGCAATGCGCAAAGTGTACGAAGGTGTGCTCGAGCGGGAACTTGTCTTCGGGTAGCTCCTTCAGTCCGATGATGATGCGGTCGTCTTTGGGCGCGTTCTTGTATGCGCCTTCCTCGATGAGGGTCGCGCCTGCCTGCTCAAACTCCTCGTCCTTGAAGATGCGGGCGTAGTTAGGGTCCTTGGGCGACCGCTCGACGACGACGGGGTAGCCAGCATCGAGCAGCTTCTTGGTGGTGGTGGGAGTGAGGCTGGAATTCTATTAGTACAGTATATACATGGAAATGGTCTAGTGTACTCACCACGAACGGTGCTCAAGCGGTTTGGCCTCCGCGCGGGCGTGTAGTGTAGGGAATGACATTGTGAGCGGTCGTTGTCTTGGTGGTTTCAAGATGAGAACTCAATTCGATGCCTCCTTTGTAGATACTTTGGTTTATGAGTGTATCGGATCTCGGAGTGTGGGGAATAGTCGGCGCGGACTGAAGCCCACGATGACTCCATGGCCTTTTTCGCCGGGGCTCCAAATTCGAGCTCCGAGAACGGCGCTACTGCAGGGCTGCACCGTTGGGCAATAGAGACGTCCGATGACATAGCCACAGCCGTAACGTGAGGCTTGACAAGTTGAGACATATCTGACCAGTAGTGGGGCGGCGGTCTGGATGACATTGCAGCGCCTCGCACGTGCATTGCTCGACGGCCGGCGGCGCTGGACTGAGCAAGCTAGGAGGATCCTCTGCCGGCGTTGAAAATACGCTGCACCACGACGTCCATGCTTTTCTCTCGTCTGTTCCGCCTCGGGAGCGCTATGGTTGCTGCTGCGAAAAGCTGCTCGCACCCGCGTCGCCGTCCATAGTACGGCTATTACCTCGCCTCCGATTCGCTGGTGCTTGCACCTCGATATCACTATCGCTATCGCGCAGCATGGCTTCACATTCGCGCGACTCTTCCAATGCCAGTGCCCGGCACGCACACGCGCCTTCGACGCCCAGCCAGCTCCGCCAGGCTCATGCGCCCTCGGACAGGTCCAGCTCACCCGAGGAAACCATGCGTCCCCGCCGCTATCACGACGACGACGAGCCCCAGCCGTCGAGCAGCGCCGCGCCCCACGACCTCGAGTTCTCCACCGACGGCATCCACCCGGCGACGGATGCGACGTCAGTACACTCAACCCATGAGGAAGTCGCTCCCCCCGGCGGCATCATCGAGATCGACCTCGAGCCCACGGTGCGCACGCGCCTGCTGAACCAGCAGGACTGGGGCACCTTCAACCGGGCCGAGGGACGGCCGGCGGCACATCGCAACTATGGCAGCTTCGCGGGTAGCATCCACTCGGAGCAGAGCTTCGGCGGCACCTTTCCTGGCATCCGCGAGACGGCAGAGGGCGATGCGCCCGACGAGGCACACGCTCTCCTGGGCGACGCCTTTGCAGATGGCGTGCTGAATAAGGGGAACGGGCAGAAGATGAGCACGACGCGCTGGCTCGCTGAGCGCCACGGCATCAAGGACAAGCGCATGATGTACCTCAAGTACTACATCCCCGTCCTCAACTGGACGCAGCAGTACAAGTGGCGCTACTTCAAGGGCGACCTCATCGCAGCCATCACCATGGCCTCGTTCTACATCCCCATGGCCCTCTCCTATGCCTCCAACCTCGCCCACTTGCCGCCCGTCCACGGTCTCTACAGCTTCGCCCTGAACCCTCTCATATACGCTGTGCTGGGCACCTGTCCGCAGATGATTGTCGGTCCCGAAGCACCTGGCTCCCTCCTCATAGGCGAGATCGTGCGTGAGAACATCAAGAAGGGTACTACCGGCGACAACGATGGTAGACGAAATGCCGAGATCGCTGGCATCGTGACGTGCATGGCCGGTGCCTTTATCCTGATCGCAGGCTTCTTCCGGCTTGGTTTCTTGGACAATGTCTTGAGCCGACCCTTTTTGCGAGGCTTCATCAGCGCCATCGGTGTAGTCATCTTTGTAGACCAGCTCATTCCCCAGATGGGGCTCGCACGACTGGCTGCTGACCAAGTATCCCACGGCAGTTGCTTGGACAAAGTCGTCTTTCTCTTTCGCAATGTCGGACGCGCCCATGGACTCACATGTGCCATGTCCTTCACTGCCTTTTTCATCATCATGTTCTTTCGGTACGTTGCGAGACATAATATTCATGCCGGACTCACTAACCAACCTGCAGAGAGTTCAAGAAGCGACTGCAACCACGATACCCTAATGTCGCCTACATCCCTGACCGATTTGTCGTTGTCGTGCTATCTGCCGTGCTTACCTGGAGATATCGCCTTGACCAACAAGGCCTCGCTGTACTTGGAGAGGTGAACTCCAGCGCCAAACTATTCACCATCCACTTCCCTTTTGAGACCTCGCATCTCAAGTATGTATCTGACGCCATCAACACGGCATTGATTATTGCTATGTTGGGCTTCTTCGAGTCTTCCGTTGCTGCCAAGTCGCTGGGCAGCGGTGACCACACCAAGGACGGCGTCCAGATGCCATTAAGCGCGAACCGCGAGCTCATCGCTCTGGGTACTGCAAACATCACCGGTGGACTGTTCATGGCGCTTCCAGCTTTCGGTGGCTACGGTCGCTCCAAGGTCAATGCATCCACTGGTGGTTTGACGCCAATGAGTTCAGTCTTGTTGTCCATCATCACTATTCTGTGTACCGTCTTCATGCTGCCATATTTCTACTACCTACCCAAAGGCGTTCTTTGCGCCATGGTCTCAGTCGTAGCATACTCGCTCGTTGAGGAGGCACCACACGATGTCAAGTTCTTCCTCAAGATCCGTGGCTGGTCAGAGTTGATCCTTATGGGTCTTATCTTCTTCATCACCATCGTGTGGGATCTGAAACGTGGTATTGGTGTCGGTATCGGTCTCTCTATCCTGCGTCTGATCCGTCATTCGGTTCGCCCGCGCATTCAAATTCTAGGCCGCGTGCCTGGAACTACCAACCAGTTCTCAAACGCGGAACATCACCCCGGAGATGTCGAATTCATTGAGGGGTGCTTGATCGTCAAGATTCCCGAGCCTCTGACATTTGCCAACACTGGAAACCTGAAGACCCGTCTGCGCCGTCTCGAGGACCATGGTACGGAGAACGCGCACCCTGCTCTACCGCGCGTTCGCCGTGCAGAACACAACAAGAACGTCATCTTTGATGTTCACGGCGTCACATCGCTCGATGGTGCTGGCGCCCAGGTCCTGGCTGAGATTGTAGACTCTTACAGGAAGCGGGAAGTCAGAGTCTTCTTTTGCAGGGTGCCGCAAGAGTCCAGTCCCGTCTACCAGCTGTTCGAAAAGAGCGGTATTATCGAAATGTGTGGAGGTCCACGACATTTTGTCCAGAGTGTAGAGGAGGCGCTCCGCATGACTGAACTAGAGCGACTCACAGAAGAATGGGCAAGCTCTGCGGAGAGCTCCCGGGCTGTCTCAAGCAGAGCTTGAGTCACTGCAACGACGCATGTAACCTTTTGGCCTATTCGCAACGAACAAGAGTTCGCGAGCATTGCATTTCGGAATTGGCGTGTATGAGCGTTTTACTGCGATTAGACTTCTTGTATCTTCCTTTTAGCTTTGGGCAACGAACTGCAGTCTCGGCATCAATATGAAAAGCATGGTCATTTTCCAGTTTCCCGTGTCAGAACCTCTGACTGTTTGGAAGTCTGCCAGGCGTCCAGCAACTTTGCCGAGCGACGACCCGGTCGCGAACATCGGAGCTAGATCTGCCTCCAGGGCGTCGGCTGCGTATGGTATCCTGCAACCGGTGTCTAGCCCCAACGCCTATTATCTGGTTCCCATTTCCAATCACATTTGAGATGATGCAATCGTTAGATGCGCTCTTATGCAGGGCTGCTTCAATCTCGCAGTCATAATCAATGCTGCCGTGACTAAGATTCGAGCATGCCGTGTTCAGAGATCCCCAGATACGGGGATAAGCCGGTGGACGCGCTACCCTGGGTACAGCACCGCGTCTTCACTCCACTTTGGAACATCCTTACAACCCAACGCCGGTACGTGTTATAAGCTAGAACCAGCTCACGAAACCAAGTTTCACAAACAGTATCATCAATATATGTCGTATCGACTGCGAGCCCGCAGCCTTGACTGATCTCCAACAGTCCGCGGATGTCTGAGTGCAGCGCGTTCAGACCGTTGGCGCCCCAAGCCTTTGACGTCGACCAAGCTTTTCGGCGTCTTTCAACAAAGCTTCGCTGTGCCGTCTTTTCCAAGCCAAGCGACGCTTATCACCTCTTGACCACTCTTAGCACGCAGTAGCCCCTGTCGTGTGCTCCATCCCATGTCGCCTGCTAGCCAACTCTGGTCTATCGTGCCGCTGTCCGCGGGGGTGCCATTGGATGGCAGGTCAACATGCGGGGTTGCGGGGACGTCATGAGGAAGTCGAGGATGCATGCTCGGGTCGCACTGGTTATCTGTGATATTGTTTCCGGAAGGTTCAACGATGATCGCGTGCATGTCTAGTCGGATTAAAGAAAGCGTCGCGCCCGCGGTGTCTTATAAGCTCTTGTAAGCTCAACAGTCTGTCGATCTCGTTCGGAGAAAGAAGACAGACCTCTCCCTCACGCTTCGCGTTCAGAAGTTGCCCACGCGTTGTCCTGAATTCATAATGGCGGACGAGAAATACGATACTACCGAGCAGCGCGAGTTCGCGCCACCGGCCGCAAAGATGTCGGCCGGTCGCTACATGGCAACGCGCATCCCCACTCTCAAGCCTGCCCACGACAAGGTCGCCAATCCCATCGCGCTCCTGCGTATGCTGAATCTCCAGCAATGGCTCTTCTTCCTGGTCGCTTTCGTTGCTTGGACCTGGGACGCGTTCGACTTCTTCACCGTCTCCCTTACCGTGGAAGATCTTGCCGAAACCTTTGGTAAAACCAAGGCGGATATCACATGGGGTATTACATTGGTCCTCATGCTGCGAAGTGTGGGTAGTATCATCTTTGGCCTGGCGGCTGATCGCTATGGAAGGAAGTGGCCTTTCATTATCAACAACCTACTCTTCATCGTGTTGGAGTTGGGCACAGGATTTTGTTCCACCTACAACGAGTTCTTGGGAGTGAGGGCTTTGTTCGGCATCGCCATGGGCGGATTATACGGAAATGCTGCTGCTACTGGTGAGTTTCCCTTCCCATCTCCGCATCATTCGAATAGCTGACATGGTTGCAGCCCTTGAGGATTGCCCTGAGCAGGCCCGTGGTATTATCTCCGGTATGCTACAACAAGGCTACGCATTCGGTTACCTACTAGCCACCGTCTTTACACGCGCGTTCGTCAACACCGTCGGTCACGAATGGCGACCGCTATTCTGGTTCGGTGCAGGCCCACCAGTTCTGTTCATCATCTTCCGTCTCTGCCTCCCAGAAACGAACGCTTACCTCGAGCGTAAGCGGATACGCGAAGAACAGCCCAACGCAGCCAAGGTCTTTGCTCAGGAAGGCAAGGTTGCGTTGAAGCGCCATTGGCTTTTGCTGGTGTATCTTGTCTTGCTTATGGCGGGCTTCAACTTCATGTCGCACGGAAGCCAGGACCTCTACCCGACTATGCTGAGTAACCAGTACAACTTCTCCTCCAACCAGGTCACTGTCACACAAGTCGTCGCCAACCTTGGCGCCATGACCGGTGGTACCGTAGTCGGCTATTGCTCATCCATTTTCGGTCGCCGTATCAGCATCGTCGTCATGTGCGTTATCGGCGGCGCTCTACTCTATCCCTATACGTTCGTCTCCACGAACGCCGTCATCGCCGCAGCCTTCTTCCAACAATTCTGTGTCCAAGGTGCTTGGGGCGTCATCCCTATCCACCTCATGGAACTCTCGCCAGGATCGTTCCGCACCTTTGTCGTCGGTACATCTTATCAACTCGGAAACCTTGCTTCTTCTGCCTCATCGACTATCGAAGCGACTATTGGCGAGAGATTTCCACTTCCACCGAAAGGCAAGACAACCCGTTACAAGTACGGGCTAGTGATCTGCATCTTCATGGGATGCGTGTATGCGTACGTCATCCTACTCACGGCTTTGGGACCAGAGTATCGAGGTAGAAGCTTCGATGTGGCTGCCGACGAGGATATGAATGTTGTAACTGGTGCAGATGATGGCAAGTACGGTGCGAGACACGATAGTGAGGACGCGGAGGCGAGAGAGCGTGTGTAGAACTCGCGTTCGAGAGACGCTTACCATGTAGCTATTTGCAGTCTTTCACATAGAGCAAGAACAGTACATGATGCTTCTAGACTTTATCTCCCGCATGCAAACGCTGAATTCTCACCGTGGCGTTAGCGATGTTCGACATCCGGAGGTTGGCAACCGCCTTGTCTTAGAGGCTGTGTCTACCCGATGTGGAGAGACAGGCCAAATATCTGGACTCGTGTGATCGCATCTCGTAAATTGTATATTGCCTGATCCATGGCGTTGACGTAGGCAATTTAGACATTCCAGGCAAGCTCGGTGCTGCCATTGGCCACAATTAAAATCGGCAGCGGCATCCGTCGCTAGCGTTGTACGACTGGTAGCCGCCTCGCACACCAAATAGATTGTCTTCATCACTCGTAATCTATGCAACACTCACATCGTCTTGTACACCTTCGCTTACAACCAATTCGCGCTCAATGTTCGGGTCTTTGGCGATGGGTACGGCTCTTTCGACCTTATTGCCGGTGGGTGTCTCGTAACGAACGAGCCAGCCCGGGGCAAGAGACAGAGTATATATGTCGCTCGGGAGATGTTGATATGCCGGCACCAACTGCATATTCATTGCATCTCATCTCCAGGTTCAGCCAAAGATCCCCGCCAAGATGAAGTCCTCTGTTGTTTTGCTAGCAGCTACTGCATCCGTCGCCAGCGCTCACTGTACGTCCCGATGCACTCTACACCACCCAAGAAAGCAAGCTGACCTCTCAAAGACACACTCCCAAGCATCAACGGTGCCGCAGCCTGGACCAGTGTCCGTCAAGCCAAGAACTGGCAGGACAATGGATTCGTCGGCAATGTGCAAAGCAACGACATCCGCTGCAACCAACTTAAAGCAGGCACAGCGACCACGACTGTTGCTGCTGGCTCGAACGTAAAGGTCAGCGTCAACCCGAACGCTTACCACCCAGGCCCCTTCCAATCGTACCTTGCCAAAGTACCAGAGGGCGCAGACATCAACACCTGGGACCCAACCGGCGCCGTCTGGTTCCGAATCTACGCCGAACAGCCCAAGTTCGGTTCCCAGTTGACCTGGCTGAGTATGTTTCTCACAACGCTCTTACCCTGCTAGCATATACTAACATCGATTCGCGCAGGCGCTGCCACCTACGACATCAGGATCCCTCAGTGCATTGCACCTGGAAAGTACCTGATGCGCAACGAGCACATCGCTATCCACACTGCTCAGAGCGTAGGCGGAGCCCAGTTCTACCTGTCTTGCGCACAGCTTGAGGTTACTGGCGGCGGCAGCAAGGCGCCCTCGAACCTCGTCGCGTTCCCTGGTGCGTACAAGGCTACCGACCCGGGTATCCAGATCAACATCAACTACCCTATTCCTACAAGCTACACTAACCCCGGCCCGCCTACTTTCACTTGCTAGATGCAAAGGGTTTGCGCTAGGGGCATGTGTGCTTGCGTGGAGCAAAGCATGAAGGCTACGTTGCTGTAGATGTAAATAGGTGGTCTATAGATATGATCAGTTTGCGAATATTACGATTTGCATAGAGTTCACGTTTTGATCAACCAGGAAAACAGTCACTTTGACAGAATGGCTTACACAGATGAAAAGCCGGTGTATTGGATTTCGTCTTACTGTCCTCAATACCCTTGAAACCGACCACGGAGATCAACTTGCCACCGAAGTTAAAAACTCCTAGATACCTCCTGGCACAGATCCCATCGAATGCTCATCGCGGACCCCGATTGAGCGCCCTTTCAACACCGGTACAGCCGGAACAAACCCTATACCCAGCACACGGCTCATACAAGAGACCGGAAGTTCCCACCCACCTCAGATAGCATGATAGCGCTCAGCAAGCTTCTCAGCATCATACATCTTCGCCGTCGCCCTCTCCAACTCATCCGCCACATACTTCCAAAAGTTGCGCTCACACTTCGCCACCGCATCCACAAGCTGCTCCGTCATCTGCGGCGTCTCCAAATCATTCTCGTGTACCTCCGCGGGAACCGCATGACGAAGATTATCTTTGAGCTCCGTCGCGTTGTTGAAGTCCTTGATGCGCTTCTTGCCCGCCTTGCTAAGCACACCTGTACCTTCGGCGTTGGAGTACTGGTTTGGGTTGCGCAGATGCATGTAGTCCCTTGGGTCGAAACCGATTTCGCCGGCGGAGGTGGCGATGCGGGGGGCGTTGCGGACGAAGCGGCCGTAGACTGCGGCGTCGGTGAAGGTTGCTGGTTCGCCTTTGGAGAGGCGCTCTTGGTTGAGGTGGCTGGCGATTTCGCTCCAGAGGAGCTTTTGATCTTGGCGGAGGGTCTTGATGAGGATGTTTTCGGGGTCTTCTTCGACGAGGGGGCGGGTGCTGGTCTTCTTGTCCTGAGGCATGAGTACGGAGATGTTGTTCTCGACCTCCGCTTTGGTGGCTTTTGCGCGCTTCAGTCCGTCCATGACGCGATATTTGTATGGGCCTTGGGTTCCCGGGCGATTGAAAAATGTACTTCCTTGGGCAGGGAAGTCGTGGTCAGAAGCTTCTCCGTCTTCAGGTTCAAACAATGGAGATTCCGCTCGGTTACTGGTTGGCGTGACTGAGGGATGGAGCTTTTGGGAAGAAGGAAATTGGTAGCTGCCTGAGAACTATAAGTACTTTTCAGTATAACTGTGTCTTACTAGACTCACTTAGACTCTCCGCGGCGGTGCTCAGGTGAGAGAGTGGGCCACTGGCGCTCGTGATCTTACTGCCCCGTGCAGTCTTGTTCGTTCCTTTCTTCACTCCATCCTTGTTGAATCGCTTCTTACCTCGGCGAAACATCGTGTTTTCTCCAGCAGCGTCATAGAAGAACACATCGTCGCCCCTTTCTTCGCCCGAGAAGCCGATGTCCGGTACAATGACTTGGTCATCTTCAGCCAAATCGCTCGCGCTTGTCGGAGACGTCAATAGCCTAATAACAAGAGCTTGTTAGCCTCAGTTCTAAGAGACTTCATTACGTTCAATGCTATGATCAACGCAGGGGGCTGCAATGGACCATCAGACAGCAACAGTGGTCGTAATCATAGGCGCTGCCGGCGACAATAGCCTGAACACCTTCAGAGCAACTTACTGATTATCATCTTCGACAAAGTCCATGTCGTGTCCGAAAACTACAACAGACATACTTGCGTTCTTTCGTACGGTGTAGACTACGGGAGACAGAGAGGAAGAAACCGACAGGCCTAATGTACTTGGTACCGTACAATGGGCCTAGTAGAAATGCCTGATGTATACTGGATGTAATGCTATGTAGCCTAAGGCACGTACCTCGCGGGTCGCAAAGGTGACCGAAAAATGCCTGGGGCGTGAAGGGCTCCCAGTGAATATGGCCCTGATCATCACGCCATGCGGTAGCGCGATCTCGCTCTGTGATGCAATCACAAGCCAAGCGACTGTGTTCAATGATAGGTCAGAAGAAGAGCAGACTTGGAAAAAAATGACTAAGTCTCGTGTGCAAACGCTAAGCGTTTGCAATCAGAACCGTGTCAGTGAGTCTAGACCTAGATTGTGAATTGCGACTCAACATGTTGCGAAAGTGCCATCATGCGAAAACAGCCTATGAGGCCTCTGCGCGATTTGCCAAGGTGAGTAGAGAGAGGAGCTATATGTCGCAATAGATCAGAAGATAGCTTATTGAGTATGTGCCATGTTTGCAAACCACACTATCAAGACCAGTTGAGTACCTTCCTACTTATGTATCGCGGAGAAGACCAAAGCTTCGGCCCTGTTCAATTCGCCTTGAGCCGTGTCGGCTGGTAATCCCGTGCTTCTCGTCTCACGAGTGTCTTTTGACTGCTTAAGAGGAAGTAGGGATCGAAGAAGAGACTTGGTTGATGCCATCGTTGACCCTGACTTCGTTGATTGGGTGTCCGATCGCGATTGTTCGCCGGAGTCAGCTCTATCGGTTGTTGACATGGTCTGTAAATTTTCGTGGAAGAGCTTGCTTTGGGTCTATAGATGAGCTTTGGATGACAGTGGTAGCAGGCCGTATGTGGACGCCTGCTTGCTGTTAAGTGGATATTTAGGGACGCTTGCTTGGTCTCACACATCTCGCTTCATCGCTTACAGTCACACGCAACTTGTCATATAGAATCAGAACAATCATCAATCCATCGTTGAGATAACACCGTATACAGCACAGATACATGGTCTGCGAAAGTCGATTCGCGAGCTCTTATCAGCAAGTCGACCAGAAGGCGGGTTTGCGCGCACCACAGTCTCGGCGAGTAAGCGAAGAGACATACATCTCTACAGCCGGAGGGCGCAATGATGGTTGTCACTGCAAAGATCCATGGCTGGAAGACCGTGAAGCGAGGAGCAAGGTTGAGCTAGGTCTGTGTCTAGTGTTGACGTAGACCGCAGTCTGAGTCAAAGGCGCACTCTATTCTTTGACGTAGTAATGACGAAAGGGGAGTAGTGCTTTCCGTATTGGCCGTACGCGGGAGTTTGTCAATCATCACACGTCATGCGCGCACGCGTGTCCGGACCCCAACACGCGTACTGGTAGAGCTCACGGTCACCATCTTCATGCCTGATCATACGCTGACGATCTTGATGATGATCTCGGCAGATCTAGGTCACACAATCGCGCGCCCGCCAACACATCATCGCGACTTTGACAAACGCACAATAATTCACCGCCATCACATCTTAACACGTTTGTGGACTCGTTACTCAACAGAAGAGCTCATTCTTCTATTTACAGCTAACTCGAGAGCTCACTAACTACGCGGTCCAACGGCGCATGGTGGAGTTTGAACCAGCGAATGTGGATCCAATCTCACCCCACTTGATCTGGCTGAAGGTGACTGTAGGTGCCTTCTCAATCTGCTGGATCGCCTTAGGGAAGCCTTCAGTCGCATTGCATGGTCCGGATCCGGACTCTGAGCCGTCAAGCCACTGCATGGCACCGCTCTCATCCCACCAGATGCTCAGCGCGAGAACCATACCGCGGGCCAGAGCATCACCCATGCCCTT